TGTGTGTGTGTGTGTGTGCTGTTGCTTGCTTGAGGAAGGAAGAGAATCTGAATTTGACTTCCGTTCTCAGCCCCGAGTTAAAAAAAAATCATCCTCTATTTAATTCTGCTTCATATTTGTAGAAGGAAGCCTAATAATCTTTGGTAGTGCCCGAATGCACCTTTTGAGGGGGCAGTTACCGAAATAGTGAAAATTGGACAGGATTGCTGTTGTCACTCACTACAAAGACATAGTTTTCGTTACAGGGCGCAAGCACTTTTTACTTACTTGGACAGTTCCTTTGGATTCCTCTGGTCAGGCAGTTTTTCAGTGAAGGGGATATATAATAGGTAGGTTATAATGGAAGGAGATTGAGATCTTTATTTCTGGCTTTTAACTTGTAGCTTTAAGCTTTTGAAGCCATACTTTATGTAGCTATGTCACTTTTTACACAGGGCAGCTGCACTTCAAGAACCCGGCAGTGAAGTGGTGCCTATTAGAACCTCAGGGCCCATTGGCTGTGTCTGTAACAGGAAAATAGGAAGTTTCCCAAACTTATCACGTTTGTGAATGTTTGATAATACAACTTTTGGCCAGACTGTCTTCTCCGTGTTCTTTTGTTTTCTTAACTCTAAACTTCATTTTGGTATTGAGGTGACTGAGGGGACGGAAGACAGACTCCTGGCTCAGCCATTTAGAGCTTGATACCATCTTGGGAAGGTCATTCTTTCTGAGTCTTAATTTCCTCCCCTGTAGAATTGGAAAAAAAATATATATTTATTGTATTGGCCCCCTCATAGGGTCATGGTAAGGCTCAGAATGGAGCTTGGTAAAGTTCTTCAAGAAAAGTAAGTGATCAACAATGATGGTTATCGTTCACTCAAAAATTATTAAGCACTTGCAGTGTTGCAAATACTGTGTTAAGTGTTCAAGGGTACAGTGGTAATCATGTGAGGCGACATTCTGGCCCTCACGGAGCTTGTGTTCCTGTTCTGGTGGTGACTGTGGCGTATCCTGTTATTTTTTTTTGTATGGAAGCCTCAAGTTGGCTGTTTTTCTCTCCTTCTTTCTTCAAAAGATTAGACCACTTTAAGGTGGTGTGAGGAAATTTTTTTCTTAGGCTGGCAGTATCTCTGCATTTGTAAACATTGATCTGGTTATGGTTATTCCTCTTATTGCTCTCCTCTGAAGTGGCAGACCCAGGTAGATTTAACAGTTCTGTATAAATCTCTGTGAAGCTATGTATTTCTGATTTGGAGCTTGTTTTATTAATTGAACGGGGGAAAAGAAGGAAGAAATGGGCCAAACATTGCAATAATCAGGGTTAGAGAAGGTATGAGCTTAATTTATAGTAGAGCAGTGAACTGAGGTTTCTGATGCCAAATTCTTGGTTCTGACAGGGTGTGAAGTCTCAGTGAATGATCCACCTTAATTTGAAGAACCTCTCACTGCAGTTGATGATAACTGAACATGGATGTGGAAGCCTCCCATGTGCAAAATTGATAAATAATGAAATTACAAATGCTTTTTTGTTTTCCATTCAAAGCGGTGCATTATAATATGGGGTGGGAGAAGTGGCGTTGCTGAATTATTAAAGAAGGGGCAACAAATATGTGCAAACTCTCAGAATCAACTGGTAAGGCCCAATTATTTTTGATTTTTAAATTCTTCCAAGGATGTAGTAAATCTAGATTCTGTTGAACTTTTAAGTGGTTTGTTCTTAGTCTTTGAATCAGTTGTGATCTACATCTGCAAGAATGAAACTTAATGACTTCACTTGAAGTTAATATTTGTTTGTAGTTATCTGGAGTTTATAGAATGGTTTTATGTCTTGTAGTTTTTGGGCAGTGTGGTCACTAGGGCAGGGTAATATTAGTTCTTAGTTGTTCACTGTTTGTCAGTAGGTATAAATAACTACTTATTCTATAAAAGAGGATTGCTAGCTAGGGAAAGTTTGGGGAAGCTATGGTGTGGTTGTAGTTGAAGAAGTTGAACCAGTTACAGTTGTGCATCTTGGATAAGTTGAATATTAGCTGTAAAGACTTTGTACCCCAATAAGAAACTTAATAGTACATTTTAGATGTACTGTCTGTGTATGTTTTTTACCTTTTTTTTTCCTGCTATTTTACCAGTCATGAAGCCTTTTGCAGGGATTGGAGTAAAAGATGAGGAAGCACTATCTTCATCCTACATAGTAAACATCTGCATGCACATATTGTGTGTAGCATTTTGTTTGTAGGTGGACAAGATTTGCCAATCATTATTTTTAGGATTTAATCATGCAGTAGATTATAATTATGTAGTTTCATTCTGGAATTCTGGTTCCATTGGACCTCCACATTTTTTTTTTTTTTTTTTTGCTTCAGGCCTAAAAATATATAAACCCTTGATCATAGTATCTAGTTTTCAGTAGGCCTGGATCCTAAGTCCTTTTATAAATTCCTGTTTTCTGGATGACCATGGTTCACCACTCCACTTATTCCTGACTGCCACCATAACCCCTGGGCTGCTGAGTCTGCCTTAACTCATTCAACAGCACTTTCTAGGAGGCGGAGTTAGTTTACGTAGTGATTGGCTTTGTACTGGGAGGACCTAGATTCATATCCTGGCTCCTCAAGTTACTTGCAGTATGATCTTGGACAAGTCAGTTGATTTCTTTGAGCCTCAGTTTCTGCATATTTAAAATGGGATTATTGTACCTACATATATATATATATATATATATATATATATATATGGTAAGATTACTATCTCCATTACATACATAACGTATATTACATGCATATTATATATAAAAGTATATACAGAGGGTGCCATAAAATGAATACACATTTTAAGAAAGGAAAAAAAACTATTAAAATTGTAATATTCAACATATACCGATAACAAAAGATGAATACAAGTCACGTTTGCCTTCTGCAATTACAAGACGTGCTCAAAGTGGTTATCATCAGCTTCCAGACACTTCTGCTTGAGCAATGTTGACCAAAGTGTCCGCTTGTATACATTTTTGTCACCCCCAGTGTATGTAAACAGTGCCTGACTTATAAAATTAGCTTATTAAGTGTTAACCATTTGTCTTAAATCCTGGAAATAGGCTCTGAGATGAAGATTTACTTGCAGGTGGTTTACTGGGGTTACTCTTGACATTACTAGTCAAGGTTACTAGTGGGGGAGTGAGGGAAGGAGGCTTGGGCAGAGGGAGGGGTTAAACTATAATGAAGTTATAACTGAACCCTGGAGCTGGGATGGCCCTGCAGAGTTATCTAACCTGTGGGCATGGGGCAGGCCCTTTAAACTCCCCTCCCCACTGACTGGTCATTTGGACATGGGCTGCCCCAGGAAGTGGGTATGACTTGGGGGTGGCATCCCTTAGCTGAGAGCCTCTGTGGAGAGGTATTTAGCTGAGTGCCTTTGGCTCCCAATGAAGGAGAGTAGCTCTTCCTCTCCTAGCGTTATGGGTTTCTTCACTTAGACCATTGGTGCCATTCACCCAAAATGCAGGTGTGGGATAATATTGGGTTGTCGGAAAAGTCATGATGCATTTTGCGACAACCCAATAGTTCTCACTATGACTTAATAGGTGTGGTGGGCCAGGTTGGGAGTTAACCACCATTATAACACTGTTTTGATGGGAAAATGTGTTCGGAATTCCATGCACCTGTGTACAAATATTGGCGCACCATCTGTTTCCTCTAAACAAAATTTGTAGTGTTCTGCATACTTAAGCCACTGAACACACGTTTTATAACCCCAGGTTTGTAGTATATTTTAAATAGTTTCTCTTTTTAGGTGTTTACTTGAATTCTTACTGCATTTTAAATTAACTATATCCATTGGAAGGAAAATGAAGAGTGCTTGCCGGCTGTTTATTTTCAAATCCAGGAATATTTATTGAGGGTCTAAGGTATGTAGAGCACCATTGTAGTCTTGGAAGACATTTTCTTGCCTTATCTAGAAATTACTTTTGTCAGGTTTTTAAAAATATCTGCTACTTTTGAACCTTGTCTTTAGAAATCCACCTTTGCAATGGACATTGGTAGAAAATATTGCCTCATCCATCAAAAATTCATCTTGTGTGCTTTGTATATTATAGTAAGAACTACTCTGTGCTCTGCTAATGGTGTTTTATGCACAGCCCTTACTCTTTCTCTCTTTACTTGTTACAGGACTTGAGCTTAAATTCTAGAAACTAAACCTTCATTGTCAGCTTTCCTGTAAGTCCAAGAATATATATCATTCCATAAAGAATTGAAAACAGAGATAAAACTGGGAAATCTCTTGCAGCTTAAACCTTCTATGAATTTACTCCAGGCTTTTAGCAATGAACAATTTAAAGAACTTGAAGGTAACAAAAGGAAGACTTTGGGGGAGAAAAAATGTCCTGATTGATTTTGATCACCAGCTCTTTGGCATTTTTAAGGGATTGATATTATTAAAAATACTTTATTGTTTCATTATTTTACTAGTCATACAATGGGCATTGTGGAAAAAATGAAAAAAATGATTAATAAAAAAGAAGACAGGCGAAATTCTTTTTGACTTTCTAGTCAAACACATAATCCCACTAGTTAGATCACCATTGTTAACATTTTGACATATAGTCTTGTAACCTTCAGATTTTTTTGTCTTACAGACTTAAAAGTACACAGTTTTTGAAAAGAGAGGGGCATATATTTTATAATCTGCTTTTTACACATACAACATTTTGCGGACATTTTAGCAGAGTAGTAAATGTATAGGTACATCACCATTTTTAAAGATTGCATAATATATCTGATAATATAAAGATGCCATCATATATCTGCATCTTGGATAATTTGATCATTCTGCTATTGTTTGATATTTCAGTTCTTATTCATACATCTCTGGGCATTATCCAATTACTTCCTTAGGATAAATTCTTACCTGTGGACTTGCTATGTCAAAGGATATGCATATTTATATGACTTTTAATGCATGCTGACAGGTTGTCCTATAAAAAGGTTATACCAGTTTGACCCTGTGGCAGTCAGAGTGCCCCTTCCCCATGGCCTAGTTCTTGTTGTTTGAAAGGCATGCTGGAGAGTACTGGTACCCCAAAATGCCTCAGCAATAGGAGGGCCTCATTTGGATTGAAAGCCTGGAGCGGATGCTGCCACACTTAGGGAAACTTTCCAAGGCAGCCTTTATTCCTGCTGGGGACTTCTGTGCTCTTTAGTGATTTGGTGGTCAACAAGGATTCAACAAAATATCTAATAACGATGAAGATATTTTATCAGTAATAGTGAGTAAAGATAAGAGCATAGGCTTTTGAAATCTACTCTGTACCACATTATTCTAATCTTAAGAAGTAAGGCATAGAATTTTTAAAAATTTAGTCAAAAAGCGTGTGTTTTGAAAGACCTGGGTGTAAACCTAGGTGCCACACTTACTAGCAAAGTGACATTGGGGCAACTTGTTTAACCTATTTTTACCTCCATTTTCTAAATGCAACCCTTTGGAGTGTTTGAAGATTAACAAAAATATATATGAAAAATCTTGGCACAGGACCTGGCAGATATGGGCACCGTCAACAGTAGCATATATAAGTTTTGTGAGTTGTTCAATCTTATCCAATAATAAAACTTGTTAAACTATTATGCTGTTGAGAACAGATACTGAGAGACAATAAGATGGTGATGAAGGGTCTGTGAATATTAATATAGAAAAAGACTGGTATATAAAATTTTAATTCAAGCATAAAATGATTTTCTATTTTTCCCTTATCATCTCTCTCTAATCATGGTTTACCTGGAAAAATCAGATGATTTAGTAAGGGAAAGGAGAGAAAAAGTAAAAAGCAAAGTGTGAAAACTGTTACATCTTCATTCACTTATCCATCTAATACATGTGAATGTGTATTATTTGTCAGGCACTATATTAGGCTGTGGGTTTACAGGGACAAAAGAATTGGGTCCAAGGGAGTTTTGGTGTAGTCGGGAGACTTTATTGAAACAAGTGCAAGTAGGTTATTACATATACTGCACAAAGCAGCTATAAAATAAAGAGCAGAAGCTTCTGAGGTGCTGAAACGTTGGATTAACTATGAGGATTGGATGTGAAGATACGGAGAAGTGAAATGAGCATGTGGATTTGAAGAGTAGCTGAAAGGAGGTGGGGAGCTTAGGGTGTTCTTTAGGGATCAGCCAGGCTGATATTATGAGAGTTAAATGAAAGCCCTCTCATCTCCAGACAGCCACCAGAAAGCTCATTCATTACTTCACTTGTTCGCTTGTTTGCTTATTCATTGTTTTGTTCATCTACGCATTCATCCATTTACTAAACATTTATTATGTGCTTACTGTCCTCTAAGACTGGAAGTATAACGTTGAATTTTATTGGAGGTATTAGAGTCTACACCCCATGGGCTCTTGGTGAAGCTGGAACACAGACATGTATGTAAACACTGGGAACCATGGTGATGTGCTGTGCATACTCAGTGGAAAAAATAGTTTGTTTCCTGGAGGAGGGGACAGTTGAGCTGAGTCTTACAGGAAAGAGAAGCAGTTAGCTCTGAAAACAGCGGAAGGATGTTTCAAGCAGAGGGAGGTGGGAAAAAGCCTTGAGTTCTAGTTGCTGCCAGGAGTTTGTAGGTGATGTGAGGTAACACTGGTACAACATGAGACTGGAAAGGGAGGGGGCCAGAGAGTAAAATATGGATGCTTTGTAGTCCGTGTGGAACCATACCCGAGGTTTGTCAGCAGGGGCATAGTCAGCTGAACCTGGGAAAGGGAGTAATCATCGGTGGTTGACAAGCTTGTAAAGTTACTGTACATTTTAACAGAATGAGTATCTTGGCAACTTTTCTTTTGATGCAGCTAGTCAAGGATTTGTGGTCCAGCCAGTCCGTGAACCCTTGACTGATTTTTCAGTAAAGCAGTGAATGGGTAGAGGCACATGCTGCTTTTCTGCATAGCAGGCTGATGGTGTTGCAGCACCCAAGACTGCTATGAGCAGTGGGTCCTCATTGTGGGTCCTCATTGTGGGCACCGGCATTCCTGTGCTTCTGAGCCATGGGGGGTTAGCTAATTAAGGTTAACTTCAGAGAATCAAATGCCAAGGAAGGATTGGGCCATGTGAGCAGAAAGGCTTTTATCTGGAGGGAGGGGAGTGTCCCTATGCTTTGGTTCAAAGTGTATATCTCTGTGCCAGCTTGGACTAATTATCTTGGATGACAAAAAATTATTTTTATCATCAAATTAGTTTTAAAACAATAGACTCTGGTGAGGGGGATATCGTGGTTTTGTACAAAGTGACTGTGTATTTTAATTCTGTATATTCAGAAAGCTTCCAGTTCTCAGTGGTTGGTGAAATAGCAACTTGCTTTATTTAATCAACATGATGTTTTAGCTTGATTGTACTTGAGAGGTTTTTACAAACTGGCAAAAAGTGAGTAGCATTTTTAATACTTAATAATTATCTGTTCTGATTTATCAGAAATAGAAAGGGAAAACATTATTTTAGGTAAATTATACTTATGAGGATAATACTTGAAAAAACTTGAAGCGTTAGAAACAAGAAAGATTAAGAGGAAGTTTAAAGAAAAGTGAGGAAAGAGGAGGGCTTAAAGAGGAAGTAGTAAATGTTAATCATGGGCCGGCTGAGTGGCGCGTTTGTTAGGAGTTGGCTTGGGACGCCAGCTCTGAGCAGCAGGGCCCCAGTTCGGATCCCACATGAGGGCCAGTGACGCTGCGCCCTCTACAGTTAAGATGGTGAACAACAGCTCGTGCTGGAGTTGAGCTGCCATCCAGTGGCTGCGTAGGCTGCAGTGGGGCCGGCTGGCAGTGGGTGTGAGCTTTTGTGAGCTGCTGTGAGCAGCCATGAGTGGCTGTCCAATGGCCAGCGAGCGACTGCCTCAGCCAGGAAGAGTGCAATGATAATACCAACATGGGCCAGTGAAGCGATGTTTTCCACAACTAGACTGAAGAACAAAAGGACAGCAACTTGTCTGTTCCCCTTCCCCGATTCCTCAATGCTGTTCGCCTTCCCCGATCCCCGAATAAAATCTTAAAAAAAAAAAAAACATTAATCATATCATTGTTTAGACTTCAATTATGAGAAAGTCAGTATGGTTCTCATATACACTCATAATACACTGTATTTCATAGATTTAAATTGTCAGGGAGGAAAACTTTTTGTCTACCCTCTTAGGGTCAGTATTTGGAGGCCTGCAAATTAAACTGACCAAAGATAGATTAGCAACAGAAAAGACAGACTTAATCACAGAAAAATGTGAATCAGAGGGGCCAAGGGTTAGAATTTGTGGCTTATATACCATCTTAATAGAAAGGGAGGGGAGAAGGTCACTTATGAGAAAACAAATGACTTCTTAATCAAAGGGGAAGGGAAGGGTACCTATAGGCAAACAGCTTTTGGAAAGATAAATCAGTCCTTAGAGAACAGATGAGAGCTATGATAGTTTTGTGACAATGTCTGTTCAGGTGTGGTGTGGAGACTTGTCCCTGCTGATAAGAAGAATCATCTTCCCTGGTTGCTCCTTGGGAGGTGATTTATGACAATTGAGTTCTTTTGAAAGGCTGTGCATTAAGGCAGATGAAGGATTTCAGGAACTCCAGTGTCTTTGACTCAAAATAATTTTTAGGCTGCAGTGGCATATTTTGGACCCCTTCAAAATATATTGCAGCTCAAATCACATTATCCCCCATAATAGCAATTACAGATAGTCAGATAATAAAAGACAGTATCATAACTCAGTATTCCTATTTTTCATTTTATTGGAACTTTATTAGAAATAGATAGCCTTAAGGCACATGCCTCTATAGAGCTGGTAAAGAAGATGAATTTAGGCAAAAGTTAGCAGGATATCAAATTGCTTATATAAGTAAGGGAGATGTTTGCTAAATTTAAAATGTATTTCCCTAGGGGTAAGCCTAAGTTTGGTGATACTTTAAATTATGTCCCTTCAAGTTAAAGCATCTCAGGAGTGTCTTTTGACATTAATGTTGAAACTGAATCACATACTATTTTAGGTTTTTAAATGAGCGCTCCTGAATGTGATGATTATTTCTGTATAACTCTGTTATAACACAACTTATTATTAAAGTCGCACACTACTTGTTATGCTTGACAAAACTTGGTCTGGCAGAAATGGAAACTGGGGAATGGACAGAAGCAAGTTCTAGCTATTTTTGATTGGCAGCAGGTGCAGTCTGTAATCTGAGAGACTGAGCCTGGGATGGTTGGCGACGGTTGTTATTGAACAGGCAGTGCTGCCAGAGCCATGTAGAGAGCCTGGCATTGAGAATAGGAAGTGTCCTCCAGTGGTAGAAGCAAAAACGTGCACATCTAACATGGTGCAGGTCCAAG